CCCCATAAATCACAATGAATCAAGGAAAAAGGAGTAATGGATTTATTCAAACTAATTGGGAAAGAGTCACGACATTGTTTTGAACGAAAACACACATCACAAGGGGAATCAGGGATATTGGTATTTTTGGGTAAATGGAGAAAAGTGTTGACAGTGGTGTAGGAGGGATGACCCAAGCGCTTGTGCCAAATGTCCAGATCCTTCGCCTCCTTCACAGTACAGACTTTGTCCTTCACACCTTTCTTGAGATAATATAGTCCTTCGGCCTGCTCACCCATTCCAATCACCATCTTCGAGATATAGTCCTGTATAATACAAATTTTATTATTAAACTTGACAATTAAATTCTTTTTCTCAAGAAGTTGTGAGACAGATATAAGATTGCAGTTGAGTTGAGGAACTAGCAAAACATTTTCTAAGGTGATCAAATTATCTACAACCACACTCCCCTTTTGGTTGGCTATCGCACAATCTCCATTTGGTAGGCCAACTGAGCAAGGTTTTATGACTTCCAAATTTTCAAGACACTTCTTATCACCGGTCATATGTTGACTGGCTCCACTATCAATGATCCAAGAAGTATTAGTCATACCTGAAAATTTACTTTCCATACCCGAATCCTTCTCGTTTAAGAGTCCCATAAGTGCATTCCATTGATTGGTTGTGAGAGAAGGTAGATTCGGTTGATGGAGCTCACGCCCTCCATCCGTTGCGTTGGCCTGAGCCGTGTGTGCCGCCGGTCCGCTTGCTGGACCGCCACCAGCTCCGCCGCGGTTACCTCGGCCGGCGTTGCCCCCCCTGCCGCCGCGCCGTCCCCTTGTGTTGTTGCCGCGGCCATTACCTCGTCCCGGGTTCAGGACACGTGGGCGATCTCCCCACCATTCAGGATATCCAACGAGTTGAAAACAACCACTCTTCTCGTGTCCACTCAGTCCACAGTGTTTGCATTTTAAATCTTTAGTTGCGTCACGATCAAATTTGGAGGTCACGACAAAGCCCACCGGGTTACGTTCCTCCTCTTGAGTAGTCTTCAAGACCCCTTCCTGCTGGATGATGGTGGAGTATACGCGATTTAGTGGTGGCAAGGGTTCTGTGGCGATGATGTTAGATCGTAGACTCCCATATCCTTCGTTATCCAATCCCATCAGAAATTGGTGAACCTTTTCTTTGTCGCGTTGGATGACAAGCGCTTTGCTTATCCCACACTTGCATCCATGGCACTTGCAAGTGGGGATTTTTTCATGATCACCGAGTTCGTCCCATATGGTTTTTAATTTTCCAAAGTACGTAACGATGGACTGACCGTTTTGCTTGCAATTTGCAAGTTCCTTCTTCAGTTGATGAATTCGAGGACCGTTTGCAACAGAGAAACGATCTTGGATATCCTTCCATAGTTCTGCTGCTTCTTCTACCTGTGTGATGGAGTTTCTCAGGCTGCCATCAATTGTGTTGTAAATCCATGAGACCAACATGGCATTCACAATCCACCATTCTTCATAGTTTTCATCTCCNTCTTCTGGACAAGGGATGGATCCGTCGATGAATCCAATTTTCCGTTTTGCACGGAATGCAATTCTCATTGCACGAGCCCATTCTTCATAATTATCACCGTTTAGTTTGACTTGGGTGATAATTAATCCAGGTGTGTCTGCGTTCTTGAGTTCGTAAGAACTTCCCTTCGTAGGGATCTTCTCTTCCTCTTCGAAGAGCTTGCCGACGAGATTTTCTTCTACTTCTGCCATGTCGACGGTCGAGAAGGAAATTCCGGCGGTGATGGACTGTCGTTTGTCTAGATTAGGGTTTTCCTAGGAATCTTGCTCTGATACCATGTAGAAAATAATAAGAGGGAAAAAATTCTGTATATTCAATTGTTCTGTTTAGTTACAAGGGGTTTCTCCTTTATTTATAGGAGAGGATGATTCCAAAATAGACAAGGAATACAAATCCTACAAGGAAACAAATCATAATCAAACTAGGAAACAAATAAATAAAGATTAATCCTAATTAGAATGGGATTCGGTCATCAAAGGATTTGGACTTCTCAAGTTCGGATTTCTCGGAATTCGGACCTCTCGGAATCCGGATTCCTCGGAAGTCGGACTTCTCCGGATCCGGACTTCTCCGGATCCGGACTTCTCAGTTCCAATAATTTTTATATCTGGTTCATTTTTTGTGTGCATGTTTATCATCACTATTACAAGGAATCATGGTATCGGTGAAGTGCGGTGGCGGGAAGCAGGGCACGGTGGCAACAACAAAAGAAGACGGCAGCTTTGAGACGACGACGACCTCTCATAATTCACAATCCGGCGGCTGCCATGCCAAGATCCTTGGAGGAGCCCATCAAATCTATGTTCCAAAGGAAACCTCAGAAGAAGCAGCTAAGACTACGGCGGAACCACCAGCTCGCCACGGCGGCGGCAGCTACACAATCGTGGAGCCGCTAAGGTTTTACAGCCGATGCCCCAACAAGAAATGTGAAGCTGCGGCGGGTTCGGAGTTCGGGTCGTCCAAGCCCATTGATCTTCCTGACCCCAGTGAATGGGGACTTGCTCCGACTACCGATTACATGCCTTTTATTCCCATTATTGGCATACCCTAATTGCCTTTATTATTATTAAATTACTTGTATTATTAATAAATATTATTACTACTACTATTATTATTAAAATAATATTACTATTATTATATTATTGTTGTCGTCATTATGTTCGTATTGTACTATTGTACTTCAATAATTCATTTAAATTTCTCTTATTTATTTTTCTTATTATTACTCAATAATGGGGTACAGGGAAGTAGGGAACCATCGTACTCTATTATTATTTTTCGAGTAAATTCTCAAAATACTCCTTTGTAATAAGGTGTTTTTCCCAACTAGTCCTCAATAAGTTTTAATTACCTACGTGGTCCTCTGTAATTGAGATTTATTCAGAAGATGGTCCTTCGTAAATAATGTTACTCAAATGAAGATTAATTGAGGGTATTTTGATATTTTTTATCCGCTAAATTTTGAATTAATTCTTGATATGATCATTTATAAAGAAGTGCTTTCCCAAAAAGGGTTTTTCTAATTAAAGATGTGTATTTGATTTGAAATTTAAAAGATTTTTTATAAGTTTTAAATAATTCATGAATTATTTATAGTCAATGTATTTTTTCAATTTTACATTTAGTTGTACAGAAATAATTGTTTCGAGAATATACTTTAAATTTGGATGATTAAAATACCAAAATATCTCTCAATTAATCATCATTTGAGTAACATTATTTACGAAGGACTATTTTGGAAATAAATCTCAATTATAGACGACCATGTAGGTAATTAAAATTTATTAAAGACTGAATTAGAAAAACACCTTATTACAAAGGATCATCTTGAGAATTTACTATTATTTTTCAGTCCAATTACATTTTTAGGTACATACTTCCTTTGGTGTATCCGAATTAGTAAATTTAGGTCTTGTTATTTTGAGTTGAAATTTAGATGTTAGATGAAATTAAACTAAAAGAAATTAGAAGAAATCAAGAGAATGTGCTATCATCAGAGATCAACTAGCAAAGATACACACTCAAAGTCTCAAAGTCACTAACCTCGAATTCTATGTACTGTATAATCTTATGTACAGTATAATCTGCATGCACAATACTTTGTGTTACTAGACCCTCTCCCCATTCTCCTTTCATCCAAATAAAAAGGACCATGCTACATTGACACCAAAAAATGTACACCATTTGTACACCACACTTATGAACAAACATTTTGACGGTTTACACCGACACAAGTGTTGGTGCGTTAACAAAAATTTACATGGACACAAAGTGTTGGTGCGTTAACAAAAATTAGTTTTACACCAACACAAAATGTTGGTGCAAACTTGTGGGGTACAAATTGGTGTATAAGTGTTGGGTACACATAGCTTAATCCAAATAAAAAACCTCTGGTGTTCAGTTATGGCATTGATGCACTCTTGCACAGCATGGATCAATTTAATGTGATTTGCTGTGGGGATTGTTGAAAATTTCCAGAATTCAATGTTGCTGGAATAAAAATCCAAAGATGCCTAAACATACCAATCATTGAAAGCTCTTGGATGACTTGTGTTAGAGATAGAAGGAATCAAAATTGAAGAGGGAAAGTGTTAGAGACAGAAGAAGGAAGCGGGATTGAAAAAGGAAACCGAATCCCTTTATATAGGAAGAGGGTAAAGCAAACAAGGAAATTCCTATTCCTACTAAAATAAGAATTAAACAAACTAGGAAAGATACTAAATAGTAAACCTAATCCAACTAGGAAAGATACTAAACCTAATCCCAAAGGGATTCGGTTTCCTTTTTCAATCCCGCTTCCTTCTTCTGTCTCTAACACTTTCCCTCTTCAATCTTGTTTCCTTCTTCTATCTCTAACAACTTGGATCCCAAATTAAAAGGGTGTCATCAATAATCTTTAATGACACTTTCTAAATTATATGTCCTTTAATAGGGTCCTTATATATAACACATTTTTATTGTAGTGTAATGCATTAAAATGCTTTATTTGTCAATTGTCTTTTGAAATACTTTGGTAGATATCTGATCATATTTTCCCCCCTTTTGCAGAGGTTTGTATTGCAAGATGGAGCTGATTTTGAATGTCTTAAAGAGGAAAAAAACTAGGATTTGGAGCCCTTATTATCAAGTTGATGATGACATGTGCAAGAGCTAACTCTTTCTTTGGAATGTAATACTCTTTATGGATGTTACGTTGTTTTTTGTACTCAATAGAACCGAACATGCACTTTGTCATGAATGCTTTTTAGTTGGCAAGTTTTAGTCCTATTTAAATAGAGAATGAAACTTTTTGTGGGTAAAGAGTAACATTTTTATAGAATGTGTATTTTGGATGTTTAGTTTAATGGATATTTCGTGTTGGATATTAATTTATAATTTTATATGGAGCAGTTAAATGCAATATGTGTTTATAATAAATGTGCTAGACGAAAAAAAGAGTATTATTGCACATCGGATAAAAATTTGCTGTATAGTAGTAATTTTATGACATTAATAGACAACAAATAAATATCCATTATGTAAACTATACACAGCGGATATATGTCTAGTGTATATGCTCTATCAAATTTTTGATATTTTTACACAGCGGATTTTTATCCGTTGTGTAAAGTATACCGTTACATTACACAACAGTTAAATATCCGCTGTATAAACATGATACCTATTGCACCGGTCACATACACAGCAGTTGATATGCGCTAGGAAACATCAAATTTATCGTTGTGTAATCCATTTCTGAAGCAGTGGAACTTGTACCAAAGCCAGAAGATGTAAATGTTATATATAGGAGCAAAGTGGATCTAGCGAAACAAGAGAGATGAAGAAGGAAAAGTAATCAGGAGCACAGCTAGATTGGCAGCCCAAGGGTACACACAGGTTGAAGGGATCAACTTTGAGGAAACATTTGCTCCAATAGTTAGGCTTGAATCCATTTGTATGCTAATTGGCATGGCATGTTTGTGGAACATGAAGTTATATCAAATGGATGTTAAAACTGCATTCCTCAATGGATACTTAAAAGAAGATGTGTACGTATCTCAACCTAAATGGTTACCCCAAACATCCAACATATGTTTACAAGCTTCGAAAAGTACTGTATGGACTGAAACAAGCACCCCGAGCCTGGTACGATAGACTTAGAACATCTCTTGCTCAAGAAGGATACACTAGAGGGGGAGTGGACAATACATGTTCTACATCAGGTATGAGTCTGATATCCTTATAGCTCAAATTTACGTTGATGATATTAGTTTTGGATCAATGTCACATACTCCTATTGAAAACTTTGTTGAAATAATAACAGAGAAAAAATTTGAAATGAGTATTGGGGAGCTGACCTTCTTTATTGGCCTACAAATCGAGCAAACATGTGATGGTATATTCATTTCACAACACAAGTACGTACAAAACATGCTGAAGAAATATGAGATGAATGTGATGGTATATTTCATTTTGATTATGAACACCAATTAATAATTAACTTATTATACATAACAAAAATACCTTATTTATCAATTTATAATTTTTTTCCTTTTAATATACATAGTATACATTTTAAATTTAAAACAATATATATAAATATCAACTTTATATTTTTTTAAAGAAAATAAAATTTTTTCAAATAATTTTGTGGCTACATACCCCCTCCGTCCAAAAAAAGGTTACGCTTCATTTTTTGCGCATCCATAAAATATTTCTATATCGTTTCAAATGTCAAAAAGTTTTCAAAACGATTTCTACTCACAATAAAAGATAAATGTGGTAAGTTTTATGTATTTTAGATACGAGTGAAGTATTTTTTGGAATGCGCCCAAAAATGAAATGTAACTTTTTGTTTGGACGGGGGAGTAGTTTTTTCTACTTTAACATGAACTTAACGTTTTTTTTTTTTGCGAATTCTAGATCAATGGAAATAAAAAATGAAACAAAGAAAAATTTTGTTCAATACTTACATACATGGGTGTGACACATCTATTTTCGAAGCCCATTCCGTCCGTGAGACAATCATTTCCAACTCGTCCGTCTCCTTTCTTTCAAAGGCTTCTTCTGCCACTGCAATCCTCCGTTTGGTGTCGTCAGCGCTTGGGCCGATGGCGATACTGTACGGTCTGGTGGCGAGAGGGGCGATGGTTTTGGCTGAGTTTAGCGCCGTGACGGGGAACACCGGGGCGGTAGCGCGGCGGATCCTGGAGAAGCTTTCGGCATCGGGGGCGGCTGAGTCTAGGCTCTGCTTCTCTCAGGATCGGTACATCTTTCACATTCTTATATCCGATGGCCTGACCTTCCTTTGTATGGCCAACGACACCTTTGGCAGTGAGTGCTCTAAATCCGATTCGTTTCCAAATTATTTTTTTTCCATTTCTGAATCCATTCGATCACTGTGATAATAATCCTTCAAATTCAAAGGATAAATTATCTTTCGTATCAAACTAATCTGTGCTTGTAGCTTTATTTATTTATTTTAGCTGATTTTCCATTGGAATTGAATTGGGAGTTGAAATTCAATGGAATTGATTTGTATGAAATTGAATTCTCCGATTCCAATTCATTTTTGGCACCAATTCCAAATCTACATATTTTTGCTACCAAACAGCAAAATTGGAATTGTTGTCCCCAATTCTATTTTCATAGTTTGGATTCCCTGTACCAAACGTAGCCTTAAAGAATTGACTCTTTTCCCTTCCCTAGTTCTTCTCGGAGGCTTAATCCACTTTCCATCTTGATTTTCAGTTATTTGGCGATGCTTAGAACAAGTTTTCAGATATTTGATGATGCATAGATCAAAGTTTTAGAAATTAGGTATGAGCAACTCTGTATTACTCACTGAACTTGCTATGCAAATATACAATCTGTATGGGTATAGATTTTTTATGAAACTTGCTTCCATCATCATCTTCTTCATCATCAACATTTTAATCCCAACTACTCCCTTCAAATATGTATTTTTTTTACATTCAGTGTGCGTGTTGAATTCATTTTTTCCTTTTCCATTTGTTTTTACAAAAGATATGCCTAGAAAGAAACTCACACTTCGACATGTTGTGACGATTTTGTAGGGAAGCCTATTGAAATATAATTTAATGCCAAAAATGTAGACATTGGTTGCATTCTAAAACATCCCCCAAAAAAAGTGACCCTGTCATAAGTTGAAATATAATGTATGCAATACTAAGGATTTTGTTTGTCGTTAAACAGGAAGAATACCATTCTCATATTTGGAGGATATTCATATGAGGTTTATGAAGAATTATGGCAGGATTGCATCCCAAGCACCCGCTTATGCGATGAATGATGAATTCTCAAGGGTTTTACATCAGCAAATGGAGTTCTTTTCAAGGAATCATAGTGCAGACACGCTGAATCATGTTAGAAGTGAAGTTGGTGAGGCAAGTGTTTCTTCTAATTTTTTCGAACAGAGAAAGTAGTGCCGATTTTATTTTAGTTTTAGCAGAATGGATTAATCAGTTTTTGTCCTTGTTAGATAACGGAGTAAATGCATCTAATATGTTATAGGTATAGTTCAAGTCTATCTTGTAAAAATGTTGGAATGATACTCCTATTTTTGTGAATACATGCTTTACGAGTGACGAATTAGTATTCTCTATGCCTTTTACTCCAGATTGGTTGTCTTCTTTTTTCTTTATTTTTTATAGACTTGACCTTTTCTGAGTTGCTTCTTCATCTTATATGTGAATATAAATTCAGATACACACCATCATGGTGGATAATATCGAGAAATTACTCGAGCGAGGTGACAGGCTTGAACTTCTGGTTGACAAAACAGCTACAATGCAAGACAATGCATTTCACTTCCGAAAGCAGTCAAAGCGCCTCAAGCAAGCTCTATGGATGAAAAATGCAAAACTCTTGTAAGTCTTTCATGACCCTAGAAATGCTTGTTTAGTCTCTAAGGGAATAAGGACTAAGGACAGAGTCTGGTTTTCTACTCCCTCCGTCCCTAAATGAACAAAAGAACTCCCTACTTTCCTTTTTCCTTTTTTCCCCCAAAAAGCTCTCATTCTATTTAGAGAAAGAAATGAGTGATTTACACTACTTCCCTCTCCTTTGCATAAACTTCCACCATACAATTTCATTTTTTTCTTAACTCCATGAAGAAGCAAACTAGAACTTCTTTTACAACTTTTATATTTTTACTCAAGGTACAAAGTTTCACGAGTTGTAAATGGTCGGTCACTCCGTACTCTTAAAACTAAACCCTGGGTGTTCTTATCCTATTTTCATTTCTGATGTGCACAAAATTACCTATCTTGATCTCCCACAGGATTTTACTTACATGCTTGATTGTCGCCTTCCTCTACTTCATACTTGCTGCTTTTTGTGGAGGCATCACTCTACGTTCATGCAGATCATGACCTCTCCCTGAATGCGTGAACGAACGAGTTACTCCATATACGATGATGTTTTGTGACTAGAACATGATGATGTTTGTATTTTTAGTGTAAATTCTTGTCATTTTTTACCTTTATTTTTGTTGAAATCTGCAGCACTTTTTTTAAACGATACCAATATTGTGTTGTATCTCTACAGATGTACTCCGTATACAGATTACAGATTTCATGTGTCGTTTTTCTTAGACTTGTTAATAATATAATCAGCTTTTATGGACTGATAATTTGATATTGATACCATAATAGTCCATAGATCTCACATTTTGATCCATCTATCGTGCTCCTTTCTTTGGCCCCTCTAACAAATTAAACTAACTACCTACATTTCATAATTACATTAAAATCCATTTTGAATTCATGACTCCATTTTAAATTCCGTATATAGTTAAACTTTACCCCTTTTATTTGCTTAAACTTTGCGTAAAAGAAATTAATGAAAACGTTAAATTTAAACAAAAAAGAGAGCTATTTTGAATGGTTAACAATTCGAGTATGAAGGTCAAATTGTACGCAATTTTACCAATGTAAAAAAAACAAAGAGACTGCTTATCTTCCAGAAAAATAGATTTTTACACTCTACGGAAGTGATGTTTACTCAAGTTTCTTCCTCCCAAAATACATTCTTATATGTGAGAAATTAGAGGTAAATTTTATTGGTACCTGAATTTTGAGCGATATATCATCTTCGTACTTGAACTTTATTTCCTTTCGAAAAAAACACCCGAATCTTAAAGAAATTTCATAAAAATACCTGTAGCCCGTTTCCATGTTATTGTCACGTCAGTCTAACCGTAATTGCAATTTTATATAGAATTACAATTATGTCCGAAGTGACCTGACAGTAACCTGGAAACTGGCTTCAGGTTCTTTTATGAAATTTCTTCAATGTTCAGGTATTTTTTCTAAGGGAAATAAAGTTCAAGTATCGAAATGATATATCGCTTAAATTTCGGATACCGTTATTGAAATTTACCTGAAAAATTAATAATTGGATTATTTTTACCATGAAACTAGTACTCCCTCTGTCCCGTTTTAAATTGCATGTTTTGACTTTTGGGCATATTTAAAGAAAAGAAAAAAAAGAATTGATTTTTTGAAATTGCCATTATTTTTTAGAAGGGTTGGCGATGAATAAGAAGATAAAGTGGTGAAGAGTGACTAATTTTAGGGGTAGTTTAGTTATTTTATTCTTAAAAGTTTATGAAAACAAGTAACATACAACTTATTTTGGGACGGAGAAAAAAGGTAAACAGACAATTTAAAATGGGACAAAGGGAGTATGTACTTTCACATCAATTGTGCAATAGACAATTTGTTTGTTCACACATAAAGCATTAAAATAGTGCAGGCAAGAGCTCGGCCGTTGCTATCATATATAAGTCGATTAAACTAAAGCATATAAAATAGTAAATGGGAGAAAAAAAAAGTTACCGAAAATATGGCTAATTATATTGAGCCAAAGTTTGTTGGGGACAAATTTAATTTGCATACATATGTAAATAGGGAAGTGGTTAGTTTGGCAAGAAGCCCTCCATGGTGGGACAATTCCACTACCCACCCAATTGGTAATACGTGCATGTCCCATATTAATGTACTGGTAATATTCACATTAGTACTACCTTTGTTCCAATGTATTTGTCCACTTTTATTTTTACACACCATCCAATACACTTCTTTAATCCATTTTATCTTGTAATTTGTATATTAAAAAATTATAGAAATTATATATTAATAATCTATATATTAAGACAAATCAAACAAGATCACACATGACTATATTTAGGCTTACACATTGAATAGTTCCAAAAGTCAAAACTGGACGAATACTCCGGGACGGAGGGAGTATTTTTTATTAGTCTCACATTGATCTTTTCATTATTTTTTTTAATATTTAAAATACTGTAGCTAGCATCACTTACTTTATTTATTATATCTTACCAACCTCATTTAATACATTCCACTCATTTTTATTAAAGATATTTTGGTAAATTTTTACTTTTTTCAACTCTCCTATAAACCATATAAAATCAAAACGAGAAAATCTTAAAAGAAGAGAGGGAGTATTACCCAACTTTTTCTGCCAACCCAACATTTTTCATTTTTTTAAAAATAGGATTTATGCACTACTCCTTATTAGCTCCGATGGAGCCAAAAATTCACCATTTTTTGGCTTTGAGATGTAATGGAATAAGAATAAAACAAAATGGATCTCTAAACTGTATGCACGTCTTTAATTAATGAAGTAGCAGTTAGTCAATCAGTGCAACTTTCGACGTTGAGCCGGGTGTCCCTTTGGAAACGGTCTCTCTACATTCGAGTAGGGGTAAAGTCTGCGTACACACATCCTTCACAAACCCTACTCTTTTGGGATTCAAGTGGATTGTTGTTGTTATTGTTGTTGTTGTCGACAGTATATAAGGAGTAAAAATTAAGTTTCAAGCATCCTAGGACTAACTTGCATGAAATGGATGCTAATGTTTCTTCTTATTCCTAAAATAAGACCTATGATGTGAATGCCAACATACAATATGTGCAAAAAATGGAAATAATGTAGTGTCATACTGGATCGTAATGGTACCAAACTGTTTATAGTGTTTTTAAACGAGATTGATATTTTCTATCCCGAATGGAAACCGAGGTGATATACTGATATCAAATGAGACAAGACCGTGATACAAAAATTAAAAACAATTATCACAGACTGAACCATTCAATACTATCAAAAGAGTATGTCAAATACGAATCGGAGTACTTATTTGTCTACTTCATCTTACCATATATGGAGTACTTCTAATTTTATTTTTATTATTATTATTATTATTATTATTATTATTATTATTATTATTATTATTATACTCTCTCCGACCTAAAAAGAATTATACTCTTCAATATTTAAAAGTCACAGAAATTTTTATTTATTTGTATGTTTTGATTGATTATTTGATAAAATAAAACATTATTGACACTTCTATTTGTAGAATTTCTTGTGTAGTTTTTAAATGTGTAATTTTTTAAATTTCTACACCAATCTTCAAATAAAATGAATTTACAAAAACATAAAACTTCACTTCATTTTGCGTAAAATATAAAACATTTTGGGACGATGGAGTATTTATTACTACTATGAACATTGTAATTTTGGAGTTGTTAGTAATTCGATATTGAATGAATTGTTTTTTTCAAAAATTTGGAGTCGTTATCTTTTATGAGTTATTTTTATGATATTAACCTTTATATTTGAAATTATCATTCTTTTAACAAAGTTCTAGACGTTTGAATTTTTTGGCACTATTTATGCATGGGTATGGTATTGTACCGTTCCGTACAAAACACAATGCCAGAATGGTACCAAATAAATTTGGAATTCATCTCATACCGATATCGAATCGTTTAAATAAAAGCGGTTCGTGACAGGTTGCGGTAGTATTACGGACCATCATGCCGTCATGGATTATCCTTTTCTTTGCCAATATGAATGGAAACCTAATTTTTTCATTTTATCAATGTTTCATTCACTTTTGTTTTCCGAGTGCTTCTTTAGTGCACTTTGGATGCATACTATTTTTATAGACCTTCTCACATAAAATATCTTTTTTTATTTTATTTATTTCAAAAAAAAATGCTTACTTAAATAGTAAGGAAATGTTTATTTTGCTCATATGTAAGTCCATAGAATTTGTTTGGTTTTCTTCCCAATTTTTTTTCCTTTCTTACCAAACAGTTAAAAAAATTTCTTTATCCCTTTTGCTTTTTCTTTCAAATTCTTTGAAGCAAAACGCCTTAATATTTTTCTCAAAATGTATATATTAACCCCTTAAAAGCACAAATCTCCTCTAATTTCAGAGACTGCAATCAATTTCAATATTTGATTTCCTAATGGCAACTCTCCTAAAGCTATTCCCGCCATTAATGCCTTCTTTTCTGATAACCAAACCTCTCTCCCAACAAAAATCCCAAATTCTCAATCCAAAACCCCAAATCTCTTCAACAAAATCTTGTAATCACATAGTCAAAAGCACCAGCAAATTTGGCAGCTTTCTGGACTTGCAACCCACATCAAAACCAGAACCTTTGGATCTTGATCTTTCCTGGTACGATCCCGACTCGGACCGGCCCCAATTCGACGTGATCATCGCCGGAGCCGGCCCTGCCGGAATCCGGCTGGCGGAGCAAGTTTCCCGGCATGGGACTAAGGTATGTTGTATCGATCCTTCGCCGCTTTCCATGTGGCCCAATAACTATGGAGTTTGGGTTGATGAATTTGAGAGGCTAGGGTTAGAGGATTGTCTTGATAAAACATGGCCTATAACTAGTGTTTGCATCAATGATCACAACCACAAGTGCTTGGATAGAGCTTATGGGAGAGTGAGTAGGGAAAAGTTGAAATCAAAGTTGTTGAATGAATGCATAAACCATAGTGTGAAATTCTACAAAGCCAAGGTATGGAAAGTTGATCATCAAGAGTTTGAGTCCTATGTTACATGTGATGATGGTAGGAAGTTAAAGGCAAGTTTAGTAGTTGATGCAAGTGGATTTGCTAGTAGAATCATAGGGTATGGTAGGCCAAGAAACCAAGGGTACCAAATTGCTCATGGCATTCTAGCTGAAGTGGATGAACATCCATTTGATTTGGACAAGATGGTTTTGATGGATTGGAGGGATTCCCATTTGGGGAACGAGCCATATTTGCACGAAAACAACTCGAGGTTTCCTACTTTCTTGTACGTGATGCCATTCGAATCGAATCTGGTGTTCTTAGAGGAAACTTCACTTGTTAGCCGTCCAGTTTTGTCGTACATGGAAGTGAAGAAGAGGATGGTGGCACGGTTAAGGCATTTGGGCATTAAGGTGAGGAGTGTTATAGAGGACGAGAAATGCTTGATCCCCATGGGGGGTCCTTTACCACTTTTTCCACAAAAAGTAATAGCATTCGGAGGGAATTGTGGAATTGTTCACCCTTCCACAGGGTACACGGTTGCTAGGACTATGGAAATAGCACCATTCGTGGCAAGGGGCATAGCCGAGTGCCTTGGCTCAACCAGAATGATTAGAGGGGCGCGACTTTATGAAAGAGTTTGGAATGATTTGTGGCCCGTTGAGACGAAACGTGCGAGGGAATTTTACTCTTTTGGAATGGAGACGTTGTTGAGGCTTGACTTGAATGGGACTAGGAGGTTCTTTGATGCTTTCTTTGACCTCAGCCCTCACTATTGGCATGGGTTCCTTTCCTCAAGATTGTCTCTTGGAGAGCTAGCTATGTTGAGTTTGTCCCTATTTGGGCATGCCTCCAATTTGTCTAGGTTGGATATTGTCACAAAATGTCCTCTTCCCTTGCTTAGAATGATGGCCAATTTGGCACTTGGAACCATTTAATATCTGGCAATTTTTCATATCATGTCACATAAGTAACCTTTATTTTCACTTTGTATTCAATACTCTGCATTCACAATGTCATTGAATAAATTATCTTGATATACATTTTCAATTTTCGCCCTTCTTATGCACCATAATTCTCTACTAACCAAGGCACTTATGATCGATCCACTTACGTCTTGCCTAGCACCTTTGCAAACTATAATATCATAAGCATCATTTATCACAACTTTTACACAGCAATTACCTCAAACTGCATAATCTGCAAGAGGTCTTGACTAGCTTCAAGTGTCAGAAATATCCATACATCACCAAGAGCAAACAGTTGAAAAATATGAATCAAGATAGAGTACTCCAACAAAGTTTATGGATTGAATTGACAAATACAGCAGCAGTTCAACTAGATGGTTGGGCAAAGTACAGAGAGAGACTATTGGGGGCTAGATTTTTACTCCGTTGCCTTTCCTTTGCGTCTTCTGCTGCTGCTACTGCTAGTTTCTATAAGGTAACAGACCATGGAGTCCACATCTTCCCCAAATATGCTGTAGGCTTCAATCACTTGGGGATAGCTGAATCCCATTGTCAGCATAATCTGCATGCTGTCACTCAGAACAGAATCTGGCAACCTTGTTTCCCTTACTCCTTCCTGCCTCGTCTCACTTCTCCCTCTCGGAGATCCTACCAAATCACCCATACAATTACCAATGTACATTTCTTAAGATTTTTGTGGAAAACGACTGCCTGTTTTGAAACCGTGGAGTTGGTTTTGAGGGGGGGGTGTTATTTTCCATGTATTTTTGGGTCTCGTAGCATGTCGTGGAATTTATTTCAATGAAGGAAAAAAAATTAACACACGTTGAATCCTTGAAACAAACAGAGCCTAAAAAAATAAAAAGAAAGTGTGTCAAGCTTACTAGCTCCTCCAGAAGATGATGGTTCAGCAGAAGAGGTCGAAGATTCTCTGTGACCGGGTGGTTGTTGCTTGAACTTGTATTTTGCAAGGTACTCTGCCCTAGAAGCTTCCATCACCATACGTTCTATTTCTTTCTCAGTCAGCTCAAGATCCGAATAAAAGCACCCCTCGGCCAGAAGGGTCTGCAATTAGAAAATGTCAGTACGATTTTGAATAAAAGATAATAGGTCACATAACCCACAAGTGTGAAGGGGCACATGCCTTATCAATTAGTTGGTCTTGTTGTGCCTTAATTGCTGCCTTTATTTGATCCTTGTCAACATTTGTCTAGCAGAGGAGATCATATAAACAGAGTAAATAATAATAAGATAAGGTAAAAATATAAGGATTTATTTATGAATACAAACTACAGTACTGAAGGAAATGCTCAATTGAGAGACTTAATTTACCCCTTGCAAAGAGCTAAAACCGAGCCCCGCGCCAATTGTTAACCGGCGTGGATCAACAAGGGAGTTGTAATGATTACGATGGTGGTAACTTAAACGGATGGGAGGGGTATCTGTATTATAACTTCCATGGAATATGTTGATAGGCTCTGCATAATAGGCCAGCTAGCTCCATTAATAAGTGATAATTGCTAGGGGTATGGAAACTTAAATTCAGAGCAGACGAAATTATAAAAGCAACTGTAATAATAACAACAGCAACAATAATATAGAGTAAAATTACACCTGTGCTATAGGAATATATGTGGATAGGCCGATTGTACATTTCACATAGTGCTTGGATCTCCATATTGTTACCGTAAACCTGCAATCCAAAACAAAAACCATTAAAAAACAAACATGTCATTTTTTAATGAGAAAAACAGCAAGATAATAAATAAACTTATAGTATATAAAACAAGAAGCTAGTGAAGTCCCACGAGTGGGGTGGGTTACACCTAATAAAACATTAGCTACCCCTTCATACATCAACATTTACTACCCCTTCATACATAATAAAACATTAGCTAAGATGTAAAGCTCTAAACCAATAGCATTAAGTTTTCACCGGGTAACTCAAGATTGCTTGGCCATAAGGTAATATAGTTCGTGTGGGGGCGATATATGAATCATGCAAAATTTCCAGTTTACACTTTTCAATTCAACAATTAAAAATAATTAAATCACATGCCTTATCTCTTCGTTTTCTCTTGCAATATGAACTGAACCCTTCTGTTAAGAACTGAGAGAAGTGGTCTCTTTCACGTTCCTAAAAAATAGCATAAAATAAGCCAATACAATAAAATACCAATAAATGCACGCACTGCCACATACACAATTGCACACCCAAGATGATCAATGAAGGCCAGACAAAAAGAATATGTTGTCAATATGGGGATTGCATTAAAACTTAAAATACACCATATATCTGCCGATTATGGGTATGTTGTGAACAAAACCAGCAAAATACGTTTCAGACACCCAACTTGTCAAGTTACAGAAAACAACCCCATGTCAGGTAAGCTCTAGTTCCTAGATTCTTCACTGAAAATGATGTAGAATAGAGACAGAATAAGTCTGGAAAACTAACTAAAGCATACACACATCACATCCTATCCTCTGATTTAACCACTAGTCTACTACCTGTTCTAAATCATTAAAAAGCTTAGAAGCATTTAGAAGAACACTGGAGTTCTTTTGACACCACCCCCCCCCCCACATACCCCCTATAATCACTCTGAAAATGTACTAAAACTCAGAAGTAGGCTATAAGGCAATGTCAGAATAGACAAAATCAAAATCTGGCTACAAAAATAGAGTTACCATGTAGTCAATACACATCTGCCTAACCAAGTCATAAGCTTCAGAATCACCGTACACTTGGTCAGCAACTGCTCGAAAGAGACAGTTTCCATCTTCCAACATTTTCTTGACTTCCAACCCTTTAGCTCGTCTCAAATCAATTTCAAATTGGCGTTCTCTCTCCTGATACAAATAGATCAGATTTATGTTTTCAACATTCTGCAACTATAAAGGAAATTCCTTCTAACGAGTAGCCACTCAGTACTTGGTCTAGAAAAGGAAGTTCATACTCACAAACACTTAGAAATGCTTGCAAGAAAATAAATGTAACACATACATGCACACTATTCATTTACTAGGCATGAAACATGATTTGCACTTACTGCATCATCATAAGAGGGGCCAGGAGATGGGCTTTGCTCATCAGCGCTGTTATAACCTTCACTTTCACAGTGAGAGCGCGGAGAAGATGGCTGAGATCTGGTTGGTGAAGTTCTAAGTGATATAACATGATGCCCAAAAGGCCCCCTACATGATCCTGTTCGCAAAGAACTTGAACTTCCAGATGGATACCTCTTCAGATTTGAATTCATGGAAGCAGGTTTTGGGGGTGGCACGGGAGGAGGAGGCGGATATGAACTGCCAGTTACTGTTTGCAAAGAACATCCTTCTTTTTCCTCTTCTTCCACAATTCTCAACCCACCAAGTCCCTTGGGCAGATCACCAAAAACAGAATCATTAACTATTTTTGGTTCACAGACTCGCAAGTCATTGCTCAAATTTTCTGGTGAAGAATCCTCACTTTTCACTGATATGTTCTCCGAAGAATCAACCAAAGACTCATCCTGATCTTGCATTTCTGCTCCCAGTTCATTGTCTTTCCCAGTTGGCAGTGCTTGGTTGTTGGTAGTAGATTGCAGCTGAACCGGAGCTGAAGAAGATGAACTTGGCAGTGATGTCAATGGTCTATTCTGGTTGGATGATGACGATGACGAAGACCCGCTAGAACCTCTTTGAACAAGTACCCTAGTCATTTTGTATGCCTACTTCACCCAGAGGCCTAGGCTACAACTATCTTGCCTAACCTAAATTAGAGGAACATGAAAGCTTTTGTTTTCAATTTGTCACGCTTCCTGGCCTTTGGTGCAGTCACCCCAATCCCTTGGCTGAATGAGTTGTCACAGTAGCATCCCAGTTCCCTCTGCTGCACGTGAATCAATTTATGCATTCCCCTAACAATTCTCATGAGACCTTGACCTCCAAAATTTCTTCTTTCAAACAACAAGACTTTATTTTTCTTTAAGGTACTCAAAAAGGTTCAAAAGCAAAAGAAAGACCCCAAACACAAAAATTTGCCTCCTCCTACTCCCAGCTGCAATTGTAAAACAACAATCACCATGCAACCTAACAAAAAATCAGAATTGAATTCGCAGCAAAACCAATGAAACTTAAATTAGAATCTTTCCAAGAAATATGAAATGGACGCCCAGATTTCAGGAAAGAAAAAACCAATCGAAAAAAAATCAGAGTTTTATTTCGGGAACATTATCTTTCCAAGAATTTTTTCAAGACTGGGATTTCAAAGAGTAATTAAGAAGAACGGAGCGCAAAAATCAAGAAAGATAAGCATCCAACGAAAGATAATCCACATCCAATCGCGTGTATTCAAAGAAATGAAAACCCTAGACGTGGAGTCGGGGAAGCTAAAGAACTCACCGAAATTGAGCGGGCGAAATATGCGAGCTAGCAATGGAGAGAATGGGAGAGTCTTATATATAGGGTTTTCAGGATGAAGATGGCGACGACGCCGAAGACAAATTGGCAATTAACTTCGAAGCAAAGGAAGTGATTTCTTGCCTTTCTTTCATCTTTTGATTTTTAGATTCTGTCTCTCCAATCTCCATCTCCCGTACCCAAAAAAACATCAAAATGTTTAATTTTAGGAGGATTTTAGAAAAGAAAAAAAAGTACTAACTCCCAAATTGATTTTTCATGTATTTTGAGATGAATTGAAAAAATAGTATAATTGTCCATTTTATCTTTAATGGAAGTGAGTGAAGTCTGTTAATAAAGGTGAGTGGAGTGCAATAAATGAGAAAACTAAAATTAATTCTAACATTTGAAGCTAAAAAAAGACAAAAAAAAATTTTTTGAGGGAGCATAAAAAAGTTAAAAAAAAAAAGAAAGACTTATTATTTGCACTATCATAAAATGATAGTCATAGACTTGTTTCTACTTAGCACTTCAAATATATGAATACTTCTTCGATTTGAAAGTTGTTTTCTTCAAATTTGTTAAATATATTAAGTAGTATATATATTTAATAATGTTTTTTATTCTTATATATACAATGTATTTAATGTATTTACCGTGTATAAGCTTTTCCAATTATATTCCTCGAACAATATTCAATTATTTTACTCTTTTAGTGTATCAGAGTCAATTTAACTCTAATCGCTGGTACCTTCCCTTCTCTTCTCTCCTTGTCGCATGCACCTTCCTCCTGCATCGATCACCCTCAAAAGCTCTCCCTCTCCACCTCATCTACCACCACTATCCCAAATCCTTTGGTATGTGGTATTTGACTAGTCCATATTTCCCTACATTAGCCCCTCCTCCTAGTGATCTTGACTTGATTCCACGTGAGATGACCTTCCCACACACCTTCACACAACATTCAAACAACCCACCTCTCCAACCCCTCTTTTGTCTTGATCACCTCCACCCCTCAACTGACACCCCCAACTCGACTTACCCCACCAAACCAAATCAACTCCTGCCCAACAACCCCCCACTCCATCACCTCCACTCCCAATCCACCTATCCCACCCTTTCCAAAATTCCTAATCCCTCACTCCCCTACACCACAAGCTGCACTACCACCCAACCCAAACCCCAACAATCACCCTATGCTCACTCGCTCTAAAGTCGGCATCTCTTGTCCAAAGTATATCTTCAACCTTATTACTATTGCCACAAGGGTGGGAAGTAGTACCACCCTCACCTACCCAAAATGTAATCTTTGTTAAATGGTTATTTTGTCACAAGCTAGGTCCTATAGATGAACTGTCTAGGTAAATGGTTTGTAGATTCCATCAGCGCTTTGGTGTGGACTATAATGAAACTTTCTGTCTTATTGTTAGGCTCGCTACTATTCAGATTATTCTCAGCATTGTGCTCTCTCTTTGTTGGCTCATCCATCAACTAGATGTCAAAAATGTTTTCCACCATAGCACGCTTTGGGAAACAGTCAATGCCCGTCAGCCCTTTAGGTTCCAGGACCCATCCAGACCACATTGTGTTTGCAAACTCAATAAGGCCTTATATGGGTTGAAGTAGGCACCTTGCTTGTGGTTTCATTGGTTTACTGGATTCTTCCAAACTCTAAGGTTTTGAGGGTTCAAGACAAATACCTCCCTTTTTTGTTTGCACACATGGGACATATATGGCTTACTTGCTGCTCTATATGGATAATATTGTTCTCATTTCTTCCTCCACCTTTCTACAGCAAATTAGTCGGAGGTTGAAGGGTGGATTTGTTATGACTGACTTGGGTACCTTCACTTTTCCTGGGCATTAATATTCAGCGCACCAAATATGGTATCTTCCTTCATTAGAAAAAGTTCACTCATAAGATTTTTGAGTGGGTCATCATGCTCATGTGTAAGCCCATCTCTACTCTTGTTGATACAAAGGGAAAGTTGATTGTTGCCTCTAGTCACAGAGTGCTTGATCCTACCCTCTATTGTCCTATTGTTTGTGCACTTCAAAATATCATTTTCAGTCATCTGGACATTACTACTTACATTGTATGGTAGATATGCCTTCATTTCATGCTCCACGGACTACTCATCTCACTACCATGAAGTGTGTGCTTCGTTATTTTAGGGCCCAGATACACAGAAACCACCCACCTCATTACCTTGAAGTGCGTGCTTTGTTATCAAGCAAAAATTAGTTGTTGCCTCTAGTCCTCTGTTGACTTCCTACTCTCTATCGTTCCATTGTTGGTGTTGTTTAATATCTCACTTTAACTCATTCAGACATTGCACACGTTGTGCACTAACTTTGTCTTCATCTTCATGGTCCACGAATTACTCATCTCACTACCATGAAGCATATGTTTTCTTATTTGTAGGGAACATTTGCACACGACATTACTTTCTCCCGCTCAGTTACTAATTTCTTGCAGGCTTACTCATATGCTAATTGGGCAAACTGTCAAGACACTTGGAGATCCACTTCTTGTTTCTATGTATTCTTAGGGGGAAATCTTGTCTCTTGGTCTTCAAAGTGGCAAGCCACCACTTGTCGTTCCAGTGCTGAGGCAGAATACAAAGCTATTGCAAATGTTGTAGTTGAGACCAGTTGGATACAAATATCATTCTTCTTGAACTACATTAGCTATTGCACACACTACACTCATTTCTTGTGACAATGTCAGTATTGTTTAATTATGATATAATCATGTTCAAGTTAAGGTTGACATTTACTTTGTTTGAGACAAAGTGACCCTGAGACAAGTTTGCATTTTGCATGTCACATCATCTTCTCGATCAGTATGCGGACATCTTCACAAAATGTCTACCATCTCAAGTCTTTACTAACTTTCAAGGCAATCTCAGCATTCGTTCTATACCATCGAGATAACTCAGGGCATGCTAAATATATTAAGTAGTAAATAAATTTAATATTGTATTTAAGGTATTTACCTTGTATAAGCTCTTCCAAAATATTCCATGATCTTTCATATATACATCACCCTGTGCTCAATTATAATCAATGAACAGTATTCAATAATTTACTCTTTCAATATCATTTTAAAATGGCTTTAAAAAATTTGAGGGTGGTGTCCTTGAACCCACATTCTTGGTCTTACCTTAATGTGTCATTGGTTGTTAATTTATCTGGATCACCAACTAAATTTTTGTAACGAAGACGTAATAATATGATATTCCTCCGTCCCAAACTAAATTTTTCATTTTGTTTAATGACATTTGGCTGAAGTTCTTTTCATTCAAATTATTTGAGAATGTGGTGAAATTAAAAAAATAAATTTATATATTTAAAAACATATATAAAAAATCTTTAAAATTAGAGATCATATGATTATTTTATTTTATCAAATGAGTAGTTACAAATTTAAATTGATTCAAGTACAGAATGACTTTATAAAGTTTTACAAAATAAAAATCTTAAAACTCAAGCTTGTATTTGTAAATTTAGAAAAAGTTCTAATGTAATATTCTAATGATCACTAATATACCAAGTATCTCTATAGTTAAATACATATGGTTGTGTGAAACGGAACGGAAACTTATGAGGAGAGGTTTCTAATGATTCTAACTTCTAAGAATGCATTTTTTTGATTCGTTTCGTACATGCCGCCCGCCACCACATCGATACTAATGGAAACATGTTACAAAAAGGTACGCCAAATTGATTCGCACTTGTTCTATTTCTAGACCCAATTAGTCACATCTTCTTTTTGCCTGCAACTAAAGTATTAGCCCTTTTATTCGTTTGGTCACCAAATGAAATGAATGCTTCATTTTGTACTCCAATCACCCCAAATTGAATTATTTCCTTTGTTTTCACGAGTTTGAAAATGTTTGGTTTAAAAAATTTATTAGGAGAAGAAAAAAAAGAAGAGAAAAATTAATTTTTCTGGTTTGATTAGAAAGAAAATAAGAAAACTAGAAAAGAAAAGTAAGCGTAAGAAGAAATGAACTAAAAAAAAGAAAAACAAGATTTTCTTCTATTCCAGTGAAGAAAAGGAGAGAATAAATTCCATGGACAAAACATAATGTAAAACAAAGTAGAATTATTTAGTTGAAAGTATTTAGTTGAAAGTAATGCAGAAAGAGAGAATTAATATGAACCATCCCATCCATCCCTTTTTTCAAACCACCCAATTCACTTCTTAAGAGGAAAAAACTAACAATGTTATTTTGAGACAAAAGGAGTATTGTTAAATTTACACTATTTTTTCTTTAAAAAAACTCTCTGTCTTTCACAAAAATTTCCTATCACACGTATATTTTTTCCTTTTTAAATATTTTTTACTAAATTTTATAAATTTAACTATGAATTTTATTTTGAAACGAAAAGAGTAATAAAAAAAATAATTTTTCCTGAATCTAATAATCTGTACCAAAAAAACTTGACAATGCTTTGTAAATAATGTACTGCTTACTCTTAAAAAAAGTTCATATTGTAGACCTAAGATCCATTTAATAATACTTATGAACTTCCTCACAATAAGCGAGTCCATCAGCTTTTAGATGGACCTCGAGTCCACCTAAGAATTTTACTTTCATAAGCTATAATTTAATTAATTAAAAGATTGCATATTTCTAAAATGACACTTGTTACTGGAGAAGTGAAGTACGTAGTATTTGTAGAATATGAACACAGTTCGGTTGACACTAACCAATGTTGTTACTAGCGTCTAGTGATGCCACTGCTTTATTGAAACATCTTCAGTGCTACGTTTGCAAAATTGATGGTCAAAACTAGTATGAACCACTTTGCAATAGTGAATTATTCGTTTTTAGATTTTATTGTTTTGTAAATTGAGGCCACATGTGAGATGTATGTTTGCCAGCCCTAAGTTATGCATGTCAAAGGTCATTTACAATTATGAACAAACTTCATTTACACCATAAATTGAAATTGTACAATGTACACAGTACTTGCATAGCATGTTATATGTCTTCACCTAATATTGGTCAGAGTTAAATCGCAAAGCATTTCTTAGGATCGGTAGAAAATTTAACTTATATTGCAACTTTTTCAAACTCTTTTCAATTTCTTCCCACTCCTAGTTTCTATGACAGAAAAAAATTTATATATAATGAATATACATTAACATTATACTCCTATATCTAAATCTATAACATATCACCACAAACACACACATAAATAAATATTTTTATCCAAAATTAATTTTTTTACGGAAGATCATTTAATTAAGCGATATTTTTAACACATTAATTTTTCCAACATTTTCTAACTCCAAATTTTTTCAACTTTCAATTTCTTCCAACATCCAACTTTAAAATTCTAACAAAAAAGAACAGACCCTTATTTTGTCGTTTGTATTATTTCTATCCACAAGGGCCTCACATGTACGTACATGATTTTTATAATTTAAAAAAAAGAAGAATAAATGATAACTAGAGCCAAAGTGGACAACAAAATAAATAGTCATAAAATTAGTTGCCAAGAAATTCCAAGATGCCATCATCAACCAACTATTCCAAGCAAACAAATTACAGAGCCCTTGGCAACTCTAATGGGGGGACTGAAACAACTACATAGAAAGTACATAAACAAAATTGGTTTAGAAACACAAACTCAGTCCCTCCCTCCCTCCCTCCCTCCAAGTTTAAATCGGGTGTCTGTCTTTCACCATTTTAGCACACTTCCATAACTACTTCTAAGGGCACTTCGATTAACAAAGCTAGAAATGAAAAGGGAAACTCACAGAAGCAAATTTTGCCCGTGTGAAGAAGAGCCAAACACCCCCATGTCAAATCTGCAAGAAATCTTCCCTTTGCTGATAAGTGTGTGTTCACTGAATTAGGCAGCTTTCGTTTTTCGGGAATGGGGACGGCGGAATAGGTTGATGAGATCATCAAGACCCTGTTTGGCATCGCGGTGTGTTTCAGTTTCCATTCAAAATATAAGAAAGTTCAGATATTTAGCATCAATTCTCTTAAGAAATAAATTTGAAGAGTCAAGTAATGATCATACCCTGGTTGTGATGACTAGAAAACTGAAAAGGGTAATCAAGTATGTTCCTAGAATTAATAGCAAGAGCAAATCAAATGTCACGCTGGCAACCTGCAAAGGGAGCAAATTGACAACATAGCCCCCATTTTATCCGAGAAAATTTTTGCAAATATATTTCGAGTGTGAAAAGTAAAAATTGAATTTAAACCTGATATATATGCAATTTGCTACTTGTTGAGTCGTAGAAAGTGAACATTCCATCAAGCACAGCGTGCTGAATACGTACATCACTGGTGTGATCAGCTAATTCCTGCCAGCAAACCAGAAGAGCACACTTTGTTAAAGATATACTCCATCTGTCCCCAAATAAAAGTTACAGTAACTAGTTCATTGCCACAGTAACTTTTGTTTTCTTGCATGTTTTCATTTATATTTTGATAATATAACAGTCATGTAACCTCTTGTTTTGTAAAACTTTTAATGTAGTTTTTAAATATCTCGCACACAGAGACACACACACACACACAACGTATTTGTTTCAGTTTTTTAAAAACTAATTCCAGGTACGGCCTTGTATTATTGGATTCTGGCAAGATCAAATATTCAGATAAACAGATCTATTCACTATTTCACTGATCAATACAGAGAGCAAGGTTAAGAATAGATTGATTATCTCTTTGAAATGCATCATCCTAAGATTACGTAGCATAATGCAACATTTCGGAGACTAGGACATCACATTCAACATTGTATTGGAAATTGTCAAAGAATCGGTGTTTTTTAATGTTACCTTTTGTAATGCCAGGATAAGTGGGTCCTTTTTTGAAAGGAATGGTGCCACCCTAGGTGTTGTTGATAACAGATCAATCCAAGAACGTATGTAAAAGGGATTGATAGCTAAGCTACTACCATTTGCAAATATGTTGATGCTTTTACCCTCATGGCCATATATGTGTTTCTGTGGAATTAAAAATAAGACAAATACAAAAGTTAGAGAAATAGTACCTTCTTTCAGCATAGTTCTCAAAGAATTGGGCAAGTAACAGTCCATTATACAAGAGTCCAATATTCAGTAAAACTCATTGCTAAAGCCTTAAATACAATTCTCATAATTATTCAACAAAAAATGAAATAAACTGCGAGCTCCACAATAGATCGCTTTCCATCCCTGTCTTGGGATGGAGGAAAAGGTTGTAGGTCCCAGCTCAGGAAGGGCAATAGTTAGCCTCTATATTTTTTTATGAATAAACCGGAGACTGTCAGCAACAAGGTAACACTAATAATGTTTTTCACGCGGCAATATGTTAAAAGTAATACTCCCTCAGTCCGGAAATGTTCTTCCGGTTCACTACTCACATGGTCAAACTTTATTCACTTTACTTATTTCTACTATTCATTTCATAATATAATAGTCATGTCACCTCTTGTTTTCTAGATCTTTTTGTGTCATTTTTATATCTATAAATTTTATTATTTGAATTTTAAACTTATACGTAATCAAATGAATTGAAAAATAATTTCAATTCAACCTCGTAAACTGAGGTTTCTCGACAAGGGAGGGAGTAATGTTTTTTTCAACAAGGGATCATCCGCAATAAGGTCAGCAACCTTTGCACACATCCTACGAAAGCAATACCTTTTTCTTAAGAAATCAAATATTTATTTCCTAAGAGAGAACAGATGTAAAACTACCGGAGTAGATATCAGAAATAAATATGTCAACTATCACTTATAAGGAGTGACACCAGACTTACGGCTAAACTTTCACCAACAAGCTTGACACCCTGAATGATTGAGGCTTCACTGACAGAATGTCTGCACAATGAATCGTGATTCAGAAAATAAATATCAAGATAATATTGAATAAACGAAATAAAGAAATTAAAAGAAATGAAAAAAGAACGAGCCACCACCTGTTATCAGCAAGACCACCAGTGCTTTCAAACAACTCAGGAGGAGCAGAAAGTTCAGAAAGGGTTGCTGCAGTTACTCTTACCTTTGAGAATTGTTCATGCTCCCAGGCTATCTACATCATGTTTAGTAGTTTCAGCAAAGAAACAACTGAATCCATTGTAACATTGTGCCCCTATATAACAGTTGAGCTCATTCACCCAATTCAAGGTGTAAAGAACAAAAAAAATGAGTGGTCTGGTGACTCGTAACACCACTTCCAAATTATAGCAAAAAACTATCTACTCGTACATATCTGCGGTCATAATAGACTGGGGAACACACACAAAATTATACCCTCAAAGCAATTTCAGATTTCTCATCTAGGTTAGGAGCCCTGCAATATGTTAACCCAGGTTTCTTATAATCTCTATTCTTTCCATCTTTTAGGTTTTACCAAATGTGCTTACATAAGAACATAAGAGTTGTGTGTAACAGATTAACTTACAAAATAGGCTGTGAAAAAATGACAGCCTTTAGGCTCCAAAAGGAGCAAATTTACATTTTTAGTTCATGCAAAAAGATGTTGAACATTCTTCACCAAGAAATTCGCATTACTGCATCACTAGTCAGCTGAGCTTGCCCCATGACTTGTTTAAAGACGTACTATATCCTCTGTTAAATCCTCTGTTAAAGATAAAGTTTGGGTACTAGTTAAATTCCCACTTTCTTGTTGGCTGGTTGAGGAGAAGAGGTGCTACGTGTAGTTGGAATCGTAGAAAGATCCATGTAGATGGAAAGTGAGTAATGCACTCTTTTCTATAACAATATCAAATGCTAGCTTTCCTAGCAAACAAATGACGTATACAATCTATCAAATGATAGCAAACAAACGATAAGCATACAAAAATGATAAGCTCATTTAATACAAAAAACATGACTCCATTCACTATAATCCAAAATTAGTCTTTTGCAGTAAGTATAATTTTTAGAGGACCATATATTTCTATATACTTACTCGGGGATTAGATATGTTAATTTTCTTGTGTTTAATACCAATCTGAAGCCCCAATTCTTCTGCAACATTGGAAAAGCCCTGCAAAAATCTAGTCATTAGTCTACGAAAAAGTCCAGTCATAGTCCGCTTCACAAAGAAAGTCTGTAAGTAATCAAATTTGGTCACTATGAATGATATAAAAAAATAACTGGTCATACATTGGTAGAACTTGATATCAAAGCTTACAAATATACAGTTTTGAATCGTGAATTATAAGTTTCTATCTTATTGGTATGTTTTTATCACTTCTCGAGACATATTTAATAACAGAATTCCTAAAGCTTTTAACTTGAACCCATTCCATCCTACCTGAATAACTTTAATTATGTACGCAATCTCATAAAAATATTAACTTGAAATCATTCCATCCTACCTGAAAGATTTGCTTTATGTACGCATTTTCAGGAGATTTAGACACGTGCACCCATAACTTATTGTTAGATGAGCCAATGCTATTCAAGCAAATAGCATAATCTATACTCTCACGTAGACGTTGGTCAAAACTCTGAAGCCACTGTGAAACAAAGATTACAAACTCAGCCAATGGCAAGATATATTAAAATGAACATGGAAAAAGTAAACCTAGAAAGTAGAAAGAGAGGCACCTTATAAGTTCCATTGTAGTTATAAGGTCCACCAGATGTCAATCCAAAAAGTATATTATACCTGCCTCTGGTATTGGGATTTGAATAAAGAATAGAAAACAATCTAGCTAATTCAAGAAGTGCCACAACACCACTTCCATTGCTATCGCTCCCTACAGATAATGCCTGAAACATAAAACTTTACATTATGATGACAAGAAAAATTCCACTGTAATGTTAAAAAAATCCTGTCATAATATGACAACGGGCCCCTACAATGCTTTATTTGATCCTCCCCTAGCCCACCCTACAAATCCAATCCCCTGCCTCCCACCCCAATCATGGACCCAACAGGCCAGCAGGGCATCATACAACTCAATGCCCCTATGTCATATTATGACACCCAAGTTGGATGTCAAAAGATCTTAGCCCTAAAAAATAGCTATAGAAAACATTAAAAATAAATTACTCTAATAAAAAACTTACTGGTGCAGCACCAAAAGTATCATATGATGCAACTATGGCAATAGTTGGGAGTTGGCTTTCCCCGTCACTTTTCAAGCCTTGTAACCATCCCTGTCAGATGACAGCATAAGAATAGGTTAATTTACAGTCAAATACTTTTTCACACAAATTACTGGCTAGACGCTCAGCTTATAGATTATGTTGGGTCCAATAGTAGTTTTTTAAGTAAGTGGATAAACTTGTTACTACAAGAAAATGAAAATGATATGGATCACTACAATGTTAGAGTAGGAAAGGGAGGGATGGTAAGGCACTTCCAAGCCCTCATTAGCTGCATTACATATCTTGTCTGTTGGGAGGTAATGTCACTAGTCCAAAGCAAGTGCACTTCTACTGGTTCAAACTCCAAATAAAATACCTTACCATGACCAGACCATATATAACCTTTTTTGACAGTATTGTGAGTCAATTTCTTAATTTTTTTAGTGAGTGCCATTGAATTTTAGTCATCCGGATCATAAAATATTTTAAAGATCTCTTGGAGAGGCATTATTGTATGACAGTATGAGAACAAATGACATTTTGACATTATTGCTTAATTGTATGCAGATTGGACAGGGTCCCAAAGGGATAGACGATCAACTTTTTCGTACTGCATTTTCATTACCTAGTTTCCTAGAAAAGAAAGATACTGCATGCAGTCGCACACCAAGTGCTGAAGCAAAACATAGAGCTATTGCCGTCACAGCATCTGAGCACATCTGGTTAAGCATTGTACTTTATGAACTAAAATATTGAAGAATAAGCTCTAAATTGATCTGTGGCAAACAAGCAAGTCTACATATATTGCCTCAAATCCCATTTTTCATGAAAGAACTAAACATACAAAAGTACCCAAAGTTCTATCCAAAGAAATAAGCACACCATTTGTCAATTGTGACAATCAACTTACAATATCTTCACCAAGTCCATATGCACGCATCTAATAATTTGCATATGTAATAAGCTTGGTGCTTAACATGAAAAAATGGCACCAACTTGATGAGGAGTGAGGAGTGTTAGTATACTTGTTTATTATGTATTTTTTTGACTTTGTAAAGTGGCATAAGCCTTGAATGCTTTACTTTTCCTTGTTTCCAGTGTGTGTTCCCCTCTGCCTTTTTATCTCCGTAATCCATATAGGCCAAGCCCATCAGATTAAGGAATTGATTATTGAAAGTGCTCTCTAAATGGAAATGCAATGCTCTCTTGTTAATATACTAGCTCAGGAACCTTTCTTGTGGTAATTCATTCAATATATCTGAGTATCCTAAATATTTGATATGGATGAATTAAGGACAATTAACAAGAAATGGTTATAGGCATTCCTACAAATATTGTAATGAATGAGTTGAGGACAATTAGTAAAAACCTGAATATTTGAAATGGTGGGAGATGCAATTTTCTTTGGTTCTCGAGCAGAAACGACAAGCTTGAATCTGTGATGGAGCAATTATTTGGTCAGTTGTTTGGTAAAGTGATGGCAAAAATCAATATTGGCATAATATTCTCCTGATTCATTTGCATAGGAACTGATAAATAAGAGATAAGCTACTATTGAAATGGAGGAACAAGTCCAATATATTGGTTGAAATCCAGAAGAAAGAGAAGAAACTTTTTATTTTAAAATCACATAGGGATAACTATATAATTCTAAAACATTATAACCAGCTTTCAAAAATTGAGAAAAGTAGAATGTTCAAATTCCACCTAGTCAAAAAATGCATCCACTTAGTTAATGCATAATCATTCAGATAAATACTGGCATATATGGATGTTAGAAATCATACAATCAGTTAACAATATCATTCAATAAACAGATTTGATCCTATTTGTCAGAACACAAACTTTTATGTTACTCTCTCTATCCCAAAATAAGGTTCCACAATTGACTGCCAGGGCACAACAATCAATAAAGGTGAAAGTGTATGCATGGTTGAGTTTAGTGTAGAGGGAGTAGACAAAAAGGAAATGTGGAACCTATTTTTGGGACAGAGGGAGTAGAATGTTGATTCAAAAACACCAGTGTACAAATAGAGTGCTACGTATCTAAACACTGAAATACAAATAGAGTGCTACGTATCTAACAGTACATGAATTAACTAACCCGCCTGTTGTGGCTGTTGCAGGCTGACCAATCGCATCATTTCTCTTTATATCAGCTAGTACAGGGCTGATATTTTCATCTTCAAAAGCAAAATAAACAGGATACTGGAATAGAACATAACAAAAATCAATAACTCTGCATTAGATCAGAGTGATGGTGACAAAAGAAAAGTTACAAGTATCTATAAAAAGTTAGAAACACGAGATACATTTACAAAAAAATGACTACAAAGGTTCACATCATAAAGTTAAGAGACAACTTTAAAAGTACACTTTTTCACTTACCGGGATGTTGACATGAATAAGCAACTGCTCCAGGTCATTCAATGTGTTCCTTGTGCGGTCTATTTCGAAATTAGCATCAGCACCGACAGTATGTGGGTTATCTGGACTAAAATTTGGAGGGAGTAAAAATAGTAAACCCCCCAACAGCTTTTTCTGTCCAATATATTCTGCCATAAGATTAAATTTTAGAGAATGCAATCTTAATAGAAAGAAAAAGATGATGGAATTTCAAACACCCTCCACCCCACCCCACCCTTGCAGCTTTTTCTGTCTGCATTTGACAGCTCTACAATAAGATTACAAACTAGGAAAAGCAGTATAAATAAATAAAAAAGGATGGAAAACGAAATTGAAAATGATCGCAACTAAGTTTAGAGGCCATATTGCACACATTGGATAGGCATAAGTGCTCCCATTTCAAATACTAGATAACAAAAATAACCCAATAAGGTCCTACAAGTGGGGACCGGGATGGGTGAATGTACACAAATATTACCCTAGCTATAAAGGTAGAAAAGCTGTTTCCATTTTGATAACTCAATAAAAAAGTTTGAAAAGGACAAAGTCAATGAAGTCAAAATAGAGTACGATTATTTGTTCTTTTGGTGACAAATACATCAATAATCCTACTCTGCGGCAAGTCAACAAAGCAAGATACATGCATATTATGGCCAGCTTATATTGGAACTTTTTGCTTCCAAAAGCAGAAGTTAGTAAAGAATAGAGATAAAGCCATGTAAACCCAATTTGATATCTTTCTTAAAAATGATATCATCCTAGATAAGAAAACTATTTCCTCTGTCCCACTAATTTTGGAACGTAGAAGAGGAGCACACAAATTTAGTAAAAGTGAACTTGTATGATTGATATTGAATTTTGTAAAGTTTGGTTTGATTTGAGACGCATAAAATAGCAAATATGGCATCCGACAAGCATAATCAAAATGGAAAAAGAAAAAAATACTGGAACACATGGAGTACAAATATTTGAAACAGATTGTAGTTTCTCCCAATCTCAATCTAGCAAGCAGTGCACCATTTTAGTTAGGTCGCTATATCCATACCATGATTTGGAAATTTACAAAACAGCATAAATAATATCTGGAAATAAGCTGATTTCTGGTAAGGTTTCCAAACGCTAAAAGAAAATACCATATGACCATCAAGAACTGTTAGTAATCAGACAGCAGAAAACTGAAAAATAACCATGCCATGGGCTCAAAATCAGGTTAATCAGTCATGTTTATACTTTTGTTCCAGTGTTTCCAGTGGCTGAAATAACATGCCTTCTGTTTGAGCCAATTCTTCAATGTAATTATCAACATGTAGCCAAAAGATGAAGGCTAGAAGGTTTTATATGTAAACAAAAATAGTATAATTATTTGAGATGATGGTGAAACAGTAACATTTGTATTACCAGTTCTATGCTACCATTGACTCATTTTGTTATCGTAGCTCGAATATTTTCCCTCCCTTTTCCTGCTCAATGATTTCTTTCAAAAAAAACTTTCTAAAAGAACCTATTCTTATCTCTTCCTACTTTTCCTATCAAATTGTAGATGAATAAGAACTAATCTCATACACGCTCATAATGAGAGCCTTCCATATTTACAAGCTATTTTTTATAATATAAGTGGTAGTTTGTATTACACCAGATGGAACAAACCCTTCCCGGACCTCAGCGAAGCTCTGTCCAGCTAGATGCCTATGTTTACGTAGTACTAGTTTTTATCACCATTTTCAGTCCAACCAAATATTTAAGCCTCGCCAAGATGTGTTGATGCTAATGATGTATGGGATGCTCCTTTGACAACACTTCTAGCATGCCTAATAGCATTCAATGAAATGCTCCAACACATAAAGGCTAGCTAAACTACCGTCTGGGAAAATGCAAATAAAGGAGCAGTCTCCAGAAGATTGGCAAAGAATTAGAATGTTTTTTCTTAAAAAACCATCATACAGCTCCATGATGTCAGGTGCACACGTACAGAAAAGCTAAATAAACTTAGATTTCACTAAAGTTTGGACATCTTTCCACAATAAGTCAAAGTGCATTTTATAGTAACCAAACGCGATACAGTAAAATCCTCCGGCGTGTAGGGGCAGTAAACAAGGCACACCTTTGATGAGAGTGAGATTCAATTCGCTAAGTGGAAGCATGATAACCGACCGGGAGAGATCGGCAATGGAACCTAAACCGGACGAAGAGGACAGAAAGGAAGAACCGGCGTGATGGTTGAGCGAGGCAAGCCGAGATCCATAAGGGACGCCGGACAGATCATACTGGACAAGGCGGTAGACGTCGACGGCGGTAACGGCGTCGCCGAGCTCGACGCAGGCGACGAGCACGAACACCAGAACCATCAGTGAATAGTATAGTGACGCCAGCACTTCCGGCTTCCTCCGCTCATTCGCCATTGCAGGAGAGTTGGACTGGAAGTGTGAGGGTTTTGGAAAATATGAATGAAATGCCTGTTTTTGATTCACATTTGGTTTCCCAATATACTCCGTAGTTTTTTATTTTAAATTATAGTACTCGGTACTTGATTCGTGATTTTTTTTATGCACATTACTTCAGTCATGATAAATCCTTCAATATTCATATAAATTTCCAAAGTTCTTGTAAAATAATCCGTAGCTTTCCTTTCAAATATAAATGGCCACAAAAATTATAATTTCAAAAAAGTACTGCGAAATTTATTGGAAAAGTATAATTTGATCAATTTAGAGTATATATTAGATCCATTTATGCTAAATTAGAAAATCGCGTGTTTGGATGAAGAAAAAATTTGGAAAAGAAAAAATAATAAGGAGAAAATCAAGAGAAAGAGTATATTTTTCCGTGTATAAAGAATGAATAGAAAATGAGAAAAAAAGAAAATACATGGAGTAATCTATTATCTTTGTTTAGTTGAAAAGAAAACTAAGAGAAGAAAATAAAATAACATTTTTGCCCTTCTTATTAGTCAACTTTCCTATCATTATAATATACTCCATATTTTTCTTTTATAATTTTAAAAATTTAATCTATTGAAAATTGTAAGTTCTTTTTCTCAATGGAGAAAATCTCGATACTCTCTTAGTCTCAAAAGAATGTCTCACTTAATTATTCAAAAATCACAACTGGAGCTAGGGAGAGTATGAGAGGAATTTCAAGGAAAAAAAATTTCATACTAACTGCATATAAACTATAAAGTATATTGTGCATTCAGCTGAATTTACCCACCACCGTATTAAAAGCACATATTAAAAATGACCAACTATTAACTAATTCACAATCAACGACTCTAAAGTACACCCCCTCCCTCTTCTTTTTGGCTTCCTCCAAGTGGGTGGGGGAGAATCCCGGTTCCGTTGTCTTGCTCCAAAACATTCCAATCTCGTTCTTATAATATTCTACTCCATCCATCCCAGAAAACATGAGAGTTTTGATTTTGAAGAAGGATTTAAGGGGAGTGTATTTTGGTATTGAATTTCCAAAAATGTCCTTTGATGTGATGAGTAAAAGTATGATTTGATGGATAGATTATTAGTAAAAAGGTATGATGTGATAGGTAGGGTATGAAAAAGTAAGGGGTAAAAGTGACTTTTTAATAGAAATGAGAAGTGTTTTTTGGGACGGACGAAGAAAGAAAGGATAAAGATTTTCAGTGATGGAGGGAGTATTTCATTTGGATAAACAAATGTTTGTCCCAAACCTATCTCGAATCAATTTAAATTGGAACAAGACCGAGATAAATAAAATTTGTCATGTTTCGTCTCGTTTACAATATACTCATTATTCAGATAACAAAATGGTACATCATGCTTTTTATTCACACTGCAGGACACAAAAAAATATTTTGATATAAATATTCATCCTCATTACTTGTTTATCCAATTTCATAAGATTTGTAAACTTAAGTATTACGGATTAGGACTTTTTTAATGCTTGTATACGTTTTAATACACTTTATTTGAGGATTAATTAAAGATAATTGTGTAAAACATTGAAATTGTTTTTTAGGGTTTGCATATTACAAATTTTTATTTTTACATTTTATAAAAGATTTGAATTGGGATATCCTGAACCATTTAGAATTGTCCCAGTCCCAAAGAAAATGAGACAAAGAGGAATAATGTAGTATCCTAAACCGTTCCGACCCGTTTCTATAAATTGGAATCGGGACGACTAGAATTTTGAACCATTCTGATATGTGCACACCCCTACCTCCGCCTATTTCTTCTTTCTTCCTCACCATCTCAGCCCACCTCACTTCCTCATCCACATTCCATCATAGTCATATTATACTCATATATACAAGATGTTGGAAAAAATGGAAAGAATTGAGAAAACTGGAAGAAGTTGAACAGTACAGAGTAGTAGATAAAATAAAATGTTAAAAATTACTTAATTAAATGATTACTCAAATAAATATGTAAGTAACATCTTTGTCTATGTCTAGGGTGATATGTTATAAATTTATATATATAATGTTATTGTATATTTTTCATATATAAATGTTTTTTTTAAATTATTGAAAGTAGTTGCAAAAAACTAGAAAATGTTAAAAATAACTAGGAGTTAGAAAACATTAAAAGTTAATTTTCCGACCTCAAAGAACAATGCCTAAATTGGAGATTCTTTCCCACTCTCAATATTTTATATTGGTGATTCTTAAGAAGGCCATGTATGTTCATGGTTTTTTTATTTTTGTTATTTGTAGATAATTTTTCTTGAAATGATATCAAGACAATAATTAGGACTTCTATGTTTTTTAAAGCAAAGTTTTCCGTATTTAAGCAATATTTTTGGGAATTATTTTCTAAAATTCAAATTAAAATATTTCCATAGTAGTTATGGATTTATTCTTTAAATTTATGTGTTTTAATTAATGTATCATTAAGTAATGGAGTGATTCAAACTTATCAACACACTTTCATGTATTAGTGAAACGAGGAAAACTACTTTTTGAATGCTATTAATTCTATTACAAGGTAGTATCTGTTCATATTATTCTCAAGCTAATGACGCACAAAGAGTCAATGATTTTGCCGCTGCTGGCCCTAACCTAGGTGAAACAAGGAAAACCAAATTAGTTTCATCAAAAAGCCTTAAATAAAAGCAAGTCACAATCCTTCTGGTCATTCAATGACTAGCGGTAGTTCAATTGTGGACATACTCAAACAAAGTAGAAAACTAACTCAATTTCATGAAGCGAAGCAAAAAAAATTACAAAAATACCCTAATAATAATATTAATATACTCCGTAGTTCCGACAAATCGGCCAAGAAGAAGGAAGACCAAGGAAGATAAGGAAGGCTGAACTGCAAGTAGAAGAAACCCTCTTCAAAGAACAAAAAAGTCTAAAGATCCAGAAGATCAAAGTTTGAAAATGTATTGTTAGCATCAAATTTTTTTTAATTGAAATATTTAGCAGTGATGAGCCGTTTTCACATCAATTCTAAGCACACAAATTATGTAAGAAGGTCAACATTTCAAACGCGAACCATAAAACCACAATACCACCACTTGATAATGATGAGGGAGTAAGATTTGTTAAATATTTCTTGTGAAATAATGACCATTGTCCATCACTGCTCTTAATGGCTCACTACAGTCTCTACAACAAAAATTATATTATAAACTCACAAAGACACCTCCCCCAACAAAATAATAATTGGAGGCAGATCATGTTTCAGATAGAAGCCCCCTAGCCAAAAAATATGAAGTCATCCCCAGTTGTTTTCTTCTTCACTCTGCTAGCTGCAGTATTTGATTAAGGAAGAGTTATAACAAAAGGATGCAATCTTGGACGAGTGGTGTTCGATTTTAAAGAGGTTGACAATGCAGTAGTCCATGAGTGTGAGTGTGCATTTCCCGGGTTATGTCTGAGGCTGAGCGTTTGGGCTCGTCATCGGGCCCAGAAGCAACCAGTTACGCAGGCTTCTCGGTCTAAGGCCATCAAGTGGATTTGGGAAAGATGAAATGCCAAGAGATTGTGTTTAAGGAGAGGGATGAAAAATGAATGTGATGCAGAGAAAATTTTCCTTAATTAGTCACCAGACACTTCCTCATTATCAGGGAAGACAAAGTGAAGGTCTTCATTGTCCCTATAGACTTGCACTAGAGCAGCAGCTTTGTATGCAAATAGCCCAACCATTGCAGGCACCAGCTGAGTCATAAAGTGAACAAAAAAGTCAATAAACATAAAGCATATGAATGGTTTTAGTTAGGTGAAGATGGCCACACATTACCTGGAAGTCAAAAAGATCGTGTGCGAAATGCTGACATAACTCCCACACTCCAAATATAGCTGCAGGAAGAACAAGTCTGGGGGATGAGAGAGCAATGCCACTACCCTTAACTGATCTCTCAAAAATATCCTTCAAGTCCTGAGTACTAACTCCAATTCTGCAAGGACACCATTTCAGAGTATTAGTCAGTCCAAAATTTAAATTAAAAATGGTGCTCCCGTACATAAAGTGAGAATACATGGATCTATTTATGGATTTAAAAGTACTTCTTTGGTTTCCTTTTTGTGAATATTTCTGGAACCGTTTCCTTTGTGAGCTTATCCACATGTTGGCATAGTAGTTGAAAGTATATGCAACTGCACATAGATGCATATAGGGTAACTAATTAGTTTGTAATCCATAAAAGGAAAGTATGAAGACCAGCAAACTTCATTATCATATTTTTTTTCACTTGTGTGTCAGAGGGTAAATAATGAACTAAATAAATGGCACATTAAACTTTGCTTCTAACTTCCAATGAAATTATTGGGTAGTAAATGCATCAAGGGTCTAACACAAACAACCTCTATGTTTTTATAGGGGTAAGATTGCATATATCTTTATCCCCAAACCCCAATGGAGTAAGGATTATACTGTGTTTGTTGTTTTTGTGCGAGGAGGGAGTGAGGAAATTTGAATTCGGTGACCCTTGTACTTGTGCAACATGATTTCAGTACTAAAATTTGTGAAACTGCCAATGGCAAAATATATCATCTATGCCACTACCTCTTGTTCAACATTAGTCACTTGCTAAGCCAATAAAATGCAAAAGGTAATAGGACCAGTAGAACAAGTTTTGAGAAACAAATGTCAGACGACTCAGACCTGACCTGAAAAACACTCCTGTTGTGTAGCTTAGAGCAGCCTGTAACGAGCAAGTAGAACCAGTTAGCGGTGAGGTAAATAACTCTCAGATTTCAACAGCTTCTATCTCAAAGCATTGATAAAAGTGTGTTTGATAGAGCAATTTGAGTGGCCACCGCTCTCTGCAAGGCCATTTGGATGAACAGCCCATACACTACAATTGGAAAATGGGGATAAAGAATGTCCTAAATGGTGAATGACATTCAGCCAATAAAATGAGTGTGTGCGTGTGTGTTTGTGTGTGTGCACGCGTGTGTGTGAAGGGAGGGGAGATTCCTCTCTTCAGACAACTAGTAAATGACTATGTGGAGCTATTTTCTGGTTCATTTCATAAAGCTTGGTTTCTTTTGGGAGACTAATGTTAAATTATTCAGGTATGTTTTAGTTTTAGGGGTCCTAT